ATATTGTGCAAGGAATTCAGGACTGCTGGCTATTTTCAATGGGTTACTGAAGAGACAGATTGGGGTCAGGGTTCCCACTGTAGAACCTCTGTATTTGTATGTTCTGTTTGCCTCACTATTCTGGTGGATGATTTTTTTTTAAGTGCCATGAGAGGGTTTTTTTAAAAATTTATTTAAATATTTATTTTTAGTTTTCAACATTCATTTCCACAAGATTTTGAGTTCCACATTTTCTCCCCATCTTGCCCCTCCTCCCACCCCAAGACAGCATGCATTCTGAATACCCTTTACCCTACTCTGCCCTTCCTTCTATTACCCCACCCCCTTCTCTTGTCTGTTTTATGTGAGATAATTTACTCCATTCTACCTCTCCCTTTCTCCTTCTCCCAGTATAATCCTCTCTCACCCCTTCATTTTCAACTCACCCTATGCCAACCATCCATCCATCCATCCATCTATCTATCTATCTATCAATCCATATATATATTATTTCCCTCCAACTGCCCTAATAACTGACAAAGGTCTCATGAGTTACAAATTTCATCTTTCCATCTAGGAATGTAAACAGTTCAACTTTAATAAGTCCCTTAAGATTTCTCTTTCCTGTTTACTTTTTCATGCTTTTCTTGAGTCTTGTATTTGAAAGTCAGATCTTCTGTTCAGCTCTGGTCTTTTCATGAAGAATGCTTGAAAGTTCTCTATTTCCCTGAATGTCCATTTCCCCCCCTGAAAGATTATACCCACTTTTGTTGGGTAGGTGATTCTTGGTTGTAATCCTATCTCCTTTGATCTCTGGAATATCATATTCCAAGCCCTCCAATACTTTAATGTAGAAGCTGCTAAATCTTTTGTTATCCTGATTGTGTTTCCACTTGTATTATTTCCTTCTGGCTGCTTCCAATATTTTCTCCTTGATGTGGGAACTCTGGAATTTGGCTATAATATTCCTAGGTGTTTTCCTTTTGGGATCTCTTTCAGGAGGGGATCAGTGTATTCTTTCAATTTCTATTTTGCCCTCTGGCTCGAGAATATCAGGGCAGTTTTTCTTAATAATTTCTTTAAAGATGATGTCTAGGTTTTCTTTTTGATCATGGCTTTCAGAGAGTCCAATAATTTTTAAATTATCCCTCCTGGATCTATTTTCCAAGTCAGTTGTTTTTCTAATGAAATTTTTCACATTGTCTTCTATTTTTTCAATCTTCTGGTTTTGTTTTATAATTTCTTGATTTCTCATAGAGTCATTAGCTTTCTTTTGCTCCATTCTAATTTTTAAGGAAGTATTTTCTTCAGTGAGCTTTTGGATTTCCTTTTCCATTTGGCCAATTCTGCTTTTTAAGGCATTCTTCTCCTCATTGGCTTTTTGGACTTCTTTTGCCATTTGGTTTTTTTAAGGTGTTATTTTCTTCAGTATTTTTTGAGTCTCTTTTAGCAAGCTGTTGACTTGTTTCTCATGATTTTCTTGCATCACTCTCATTTCTCTTCCCAGTTTTTCCTCTACTTCTCTTACTTGCTTTTCAAAATCCTTTTTGAGCTCTTCCATGACCTGAGACCAATTCATACTTTTCTTGGAGGCTTTGGATGTAAGAGCTTTGACTTTGTTGTCTTCTTCTGGTTGTCTGTTTTGACCTTCTTTGTCACCAAAGAAAAATTCTATGGTCTGAGTTTGCTCATGATCCCAGCCAATTACTTGAGTTTTAAACTCTTTGTTAAGGTAGGGCGCTGCTTCCAGTGTGGAGAATGTACTGTCCCAAGCTTCGGGGGTTTTGTACAGCTGTTTTCAGAGATGCTTTTAGAGACCTGTAAAGTTTCAGTTCTTGCAAGGGGGTATGATAAGGGGTGAGGTGTTTACTCCTTTCCTGGCCTGTGCTCTGGTCTATGATTGAGCACAAGAATTCTTTTCTGCCTTGGAACTGTGAGGGGGGATTCCTTCTCTACTGCCACCACAAGTCCACCATTCCTCCTTGCCTCAGGATTGCCACCCAGAACTGTAACCCAAATTCAAGCATGGGCAAAGCAAGAGAATCCTGCCTTAGCACCAGCAAATAGATCCCTGCAATCCCCCTCTGATCAGGTACTCGATTCCTCCTCTGTCTGTGGGCCGAGATCCCTGGAAGCAGCCACCGCCAGGACTGGGGCTAGGCCCCGAGCTCCTCTCTCACTACAGTCAGTAGACCTTTCATCCTGAACTTTTAAGTTGTCCTGGTGCTTGTGGGTTGTGGGAAATTGCCACAGCTACCCGTGATTTGGTCCCCTGAGGCCTGCTCTAGGGTCCCTGAGGCCTGGTCTTTGCTGGTGTGGCCCACGCTGAACTGTGCTCCTCTCCCAGCCAGAAAGGTGCAAGAGACCTTTCTTACCAACCTTTCAGGTTGTCTTGGGCTGGAAATTTGGTTCAGTCTGTCTTTTTGTGGGTTCTGCTGCTTTAGAATTTGTTTAAAGCCATTTTTTACAGGCATTTGGAGGGGTTTGGGGGAGAGCTCAAGCAAGTCACTGCTTTTACTCTGCCGTCTTGGCTCCGCCCCCTGGTGGATGATTTTTACAAAGGATAAACACTCCATCTACATGATCCATGGCCAGCCATATTAGATCACCATGATCTCATTTTATGCTCATATGCTATGAGGGATATGCTACAAGTCTTAATATTTTGACTTTGCTGATTAGGAAACAGCCTGAGAGAGATTAAGTTATTTACTATTATTATATGGTTAGTTAATTATCTAAAGCAGGATCTGAATCCAGGTCTTCCTGACTCCAGACTGTTAGAGTGGAAAGAGACCTTAGAGACCATGTAGTTAGTCATCATAATTTAAAAGACAAAAAAAAATTGAGATTCAGATAAATGAAATGAATTTTTGGCTTGATCACAGGTGTCCTAACTCCAAGGATAGGGAAAGCTAGTTAGCAAGAAATGATTAGTAAACTAATCTTTTTTTTTTTTGAGAACTGTGGCTTATGTTATATCATTTAATATGAAGAGATAAAATGAGTTTTAGATCTTAGCTATTTATATATACTAATAAAATATTTTACTGGATTGTACGCCACATGAAGGCAGGCATTATGATTTATAAAAATTTTGTATTTCCCCTTAGAGTATTTTGCAAACAATAGACACTTTATAAATATTTTTTGAGTTAAATTAAAAATGTCTTTGTCCTAAAACACAATACTTTTTCCTTATTTTGAAGTTGCTACATTTTTCTAATTTGCTAGTTAATATAGCACAGGTATCACTCATCTCTGGAATCTTTTGTTATTCAAGTTCACTGTATGGTGTTTTGAGTAATCACAATTATGTAGATATGGTTCAGTTCTCTAATCTGGTTCACATTGTGTTATAAACCAGGCAGAACCTACATTTCTTTTTTTTTTTATTAGAACCTACAATTCTGATCACAAATCATTTAATTAAGATATAACAGGAAGGCAAATCATGAGGCCAAATAAGTAGGTTAAAGAATCATTCTTAACCTCCTAAATAGTTTTGTATAAATTTGTCTTCTGGAAGATACTTCATCAATCAGAATCCTTGCCTAGAATCCCCACTAGTCTCCAGCCATACAGAGAGCCTCCTTGAAATGGAGCCAGAGAATTTCTCCTGGAGAGTAATGTTCTCATTTTCCCAAGCATCTCGGTAAATGAAGTTCTAGAGGCTCTTCTCTACACTAAAATTCCTCACAAGTTTAAGCTAAAATTTTGATTTTAGATAAGTATATACACTAAATAGAGGAGTCTTGTGTGGTTGCTCTTACAAAATGCTCAGTCTCCTAACTGAATTTTCACTGACTATCCCTTATGCTTAGAATTCTCTCCCTCCTTGTCTCTGCCTTCTGGCTTCCATGGCTTTCTTTAAGTCTCAACTAAAATCCTATCTTCTGGAAGAATCCTTTCCTGGTCACCCGTAATGTTAGTGTTTTCCCTTAGGTTATCTCCAATTTATCCTGTCTACAACTTTCTTATACTTATTATTATTGTTGTTATTATTGTTATTATTATAGCATTTTGTATCCCCAGTTAGATCGTGAGCTCATTGAGGGCAAGGAAAAATTTTGCCTTTCTATCCCCATTGCTTAGCAAGGTGATTGGCACATAGTAGGTACTTAATCAATGTTTGTTGACTTGATTTATTTAGAGACCATGATATTTTGCTTCTTTGTGACACTAAGTGTCCAGTGTCACACAGGTGTGTATCTATGTCCTAGTTTCCTAATATTTCAGATGGAGATAGAATATCTCTGGCCTATTTCATTAGATTATTGAAAGGCTCAAATGAGATAATGGGCATGAAGAACAGCTTGGAAGTATAGAATGCTCATACAAATGGAATGTATTATTACTATTATAAAAGAATGGTTTAGTGCCAGATATAGAAACTGTTTACTCAGAATTAACAAATTTTTAAAAATACCTACAATATAAGATGACAGACAAAGCATTTAATCTATCTCTGCTAAGAGATGCAGACATCAAAAAAGCAAGCAAGATAGTCTTTGTCTTCAGGGAACTTATATACTAATGGAAGAAGTTAATATATAATGGGGAGCTGGGAGATAGGAAGAGGAAAAGTACTATGATCTCAGAACATAATGAAAATTGTACATCCTGGTATGCGAAATCCTAGCTTTAGGTGGTTAGTGCTGCCAATTCAAAGGGATCAGGATAGGAACTACACTTTGATTTATTAGTATACAGCATTTTCAGGTGAGGAAACTATCTACCAATGGAGTATTGCTTATAGTCTGCTGATGCGTATAGTCTACTTATATTTTATTGATGCAGTAGTGCTTACAGTCTTAGAGAAGTGTGCTGAAAGATTGTCTTGCAGCAGAGATTTTTGCAATACTGTTAGAAAAGAGAGATGCATTTCTTTAAAGGACATTCTCTTTAATAAACCTCATAGATTATCTAAGTAATATTAACTAATTATCTAAGTAATATTATTTTAAGTAATTAAGTAATATTATCTAAGTAATATTAGGATTAATGTCCTTCTCTTATAGATTCCTGTGCTTCTCAACTTGAGCCAAGATCCAGAAGTCAGTCTCCCTGTTAAGCCGCTCATCTTTTCGCTGGCCATAGGAGCCTGCCTTGGAGGTGAGGAGACTTTTGTATTGTGTTTGTGGGAAAAGACACATTCCAAAGTTTGTTTTAATAACTTCTGCTGTTGACTGGAGTCAGCTAGTGGTGCAGTGGATAGAATGTCCACCTAGAGTCAAGACTCGAGTTCAAATCCAGCCTCACATATTTACTAGCTATATAACCCTGGACAAATTACTTAACCTTTGTCTGGCTCAGTTTCTTCATTTGTAAAATAGGGATAATAATAGCACCCATTTCCCAGTGTTGTTTTGAGGATCAAATAAGATAGTATATGTAAAAAGTGTTTAGCAAAGTGCTTGGCACACAGTAGGCTATATAAAAGTGTAATCCCTTCTCTTTCCAGTTGGTAATAAAAATTTAGTTGTCATGAAGTGGAAAATAAACTTAGAAAAGACTTTATGATGTTGCTACCTTGGGCAGATCTTTGCATATTTGAATAAACACAAATCTAGGGATGGTAACAGTCAGTTCTTTGAAGACCATTTCTGTGTATTGTTTGAGAAAATTTAAAAGAACTCAGATGAAAATGCAAGAGCTCAGGAAAGAAGGTGTGAGGTAGGAAAGGGGAAGGAGGAGGTAAATTTTGCTTGTCTGAACATGTAACCTGGGGAGCTCATTATTATAGTCTTGAAGTCAGTTTTCTCAAAAACTATTTAGAGTGTGGCATTTAGAATGAGTTTCTGAATTTAAGCCAAAGCCTTAACTTTATTTTATTTTATTTATTTTATTTTTGAAATGGTCTCTCTTCTTTGAGACCATGGAGTAAGTAGTTGGTGACTAGGAAGGAGTCAAGGGTGACACTACAGTTGGAAATTTGAGTGATGAGAAGGATCTTGATGTGCTCAAGAGTAATAGGGAAGTTTGGAAGAGTAGGGACTTTGGAGTGAATTCTTTTTGGATATGCTGAGTTTGAGATGTCTATGGGACATCCAATTTGAAATGTCTAATAGGTAGTTGGTGATGCAGAACTAACTCGCAGAAGAGAGACAAGGACTGGATAAATAGATCTGGGAATCATCTGCATGGAAATGATAATTGGATCTATGAAGAGACAAGCAAGTAAGAAAGTATACTGAGAAAAGAGAAGAGGGCTTGGGAAAGAGCTTTGCTGGACAAACCCAGTAATGATGACAAGATCAGGATCCCACAAAAGAGGCTGAGAAACAACAGTCAGACAAAAAAAAAAGGGAGAGAGTAGAGTCATTAAAACCCAGAGAAGAGGAAGTATCCTGGAGGAGAAGGTGATCGAGTGTGAGATGCTACAGGGTCAAGAAGCATGAGGATTGAGAAAAGACAATTAGACTTGGCAATTAGGAGATCATTAGTAACAGGAGAGAGCAGTTTCAGTTGAATTATGAGGTCGGGAGCTAGACTGCCTACATTTTAAAGCAGAATTCTTAATCTTTCTTTCTTTCCTTCTTTCTTTCTTTCTTTCTTTCTTTCTTTCTTTCTTTCTTTCTTTCTTTCTTTCTTTCTTTCTTTCTTTCTTTCTTTCTTTCTCTCTCTCTCTCTCTCTCTCTCTCTCTCTTCTCTCTCTCTCTCTCTCTCTCTCTCTCTCTCTCTTTCTTTCTTTCTTTTTCAGTACATGGGTCCCTTTGGCAGTCTGATAAAATCTATGAGTCCTTCCTCAGAATAATGTTTTTTTAAATATAAAGTAAAGTAAACAGAATTGCAAAGGAAACTAATTCTATTGAAATATACTTATCAAGATAATTAAAAAATATATATCATGGGCCCCAAGTTGAGAAACCAAGATCTAGAACAAGATTTGTTCTTGTGAAGTTTGGATTTGATGAAAGGGCAGTGCTTGAGGACCTAGAGAGCCACATGTGGCCTTGGGTCAGCAGGCCTCACCCCTGATCTAGATCAAGCCACTTTTTTTTTTCAGGTGATGCAAATGAAGTCTATAATAGTTTAATGACTTGTCTGAGGTCACAAAGCTAGTAAGCAGAAGAACATATTTAAAACCGTATTTAAACTTCATATCCAACCCTCTTTCCACTGCACTATAATAGTCTGTGTTACAATCCTAAGATCTGGAATAGAAAAACTGAAGCTCTTTCAATAGAGTAAGTATATAGGTTAGAGAAAAAAGGTGTGGGAGAGGGGTGACAGAGATACTAAATTAAGGATAACTCAATTGTGAAGTTTCTAGCACTATGCTAGGGTATAAGAAAGGCAAAGAAAGATTTTATTACCTATGTGTCTCTGGACAAGTCACTTAACTTCTCTGCGCCATATTTGGAAGGGGAAATGGATGAAGAAATTTGGAGACACCGCTTTACCAGGACCACATTCAAAGACAACAGAGTTTAGTTTTACTTTTTTGTTCCTTTGGCTCCTGATTGGCATACTCCAGTGCACTTGTAGAGATTCATTTTGCAGTATCTGCTGAGGATCTTAAACAAAGGCTTTTGGTAAATTGCAACCTTTTATTGTTATAATCAGGTCTTTAGGCAAGGTTTGATAAGAAAGGTTTTTTTAATTTTAATGTGTTTGCTTTGACTTTTGTTATTCATTGGTTTATGTCTCTGACTTTTGGATGAATGGATGCTTTTATTCAGTTTATCTCTTTGTTTAAAGAAGGCTGATAATGGCTATAGAAACTTAGAAATATTTCTATTAGAAACACTTCTATTTGTTTGAGTTCTCAATTCAAGAATTTTTGTTGCTGAGTTGTTTTAGTCATACTTGACTCCATGACTACATTTTGGGGGTTTTCTTGACAAAGGATAAGGAAGTAAGTGTTTTACCATTTCTTTCTCCACCTCATTTTATAGATGAAGAATGGAGGCAGAATTATTTGAGTTGCTGCGGGTCACATGGCTAGTAAGTCAGATTTAAGCTCAAGAAGGAGTCTGATTCCAAGCCCAGTGCTCTAGTGCACCACCTACCTGCCTATTCAAGAATTAGAGATTTTGTTAAAACTCTTGTTATGCAAGAGGTAACAACAGCAGGGATGAAGGAATACTCCTGGCAGAATATTCTCAAATAGGTAAACTACAAATGAAGGAAACTGAGCCAGGTCTGGTTCAAAATGCTGCTCCTAGCCCCTTGCTGGGCCCTATCTTTGCAATACTTCAGAATCCAAAGAATGTTTGCAAGTGCCAAGTGAGTGGCTTTAACATGGGCCATTTTGTACAGCTAAGAACCTGACCAAAGTTTGATACTGCTAAACACTTGATTGGACCCATTTTGGAAACAGCTGCTCCAGGATTTATCAGCAGTGAAGTCCCATATTCTCAGCATCTTTCCCACCTGGTGTATTTAGTTAACAGATTGTAGTCCCTGCTAGAGCAGATGCAGAGTTATACTTGGTGATAATTCCCTCTCTTGGCAGCATCCTTTCTACTGGATGAGTGGTTTGAGTTTACTGTGACCTTTGAAAATAGTACCTATTCTGAAATACCATCTATTGATTAAATTATGATTGATTTCCTAGTCAGCCTTCAAAAGATGTGGCTACTCTGTGTCAAATTCCCATGTGTATGAAGATGGAGGGAGCTGGGCTGACTCAAAACCATTTTCTTTCCCTCTTTCTTAAAGTAGCTAAATCTTGTGGAAATAAGTCTAAATGGAATTAAATATAGGGTCCTGATAGTCACTTAGATCGGAATGTAATAATAATAATAATAAATAATAATAATAATAATAAACTGATTTGGACTAGAATATAATAATAATAGTTGATGTATATATACATAGTATTTTAAACTTTGTGAAATGCTTCTGTGATAATGATATGTAAAATAATATTTGAGATAATGAATATTTAAGAATGAATAGAAAAATACCCTGGAGATTAAATCAAAGCTATTATTCAGTGTTTAGGATTTATTTTCCACATCTTGACCATATATGGTTTTAGGCAGCCCACCAAATATAACTTTCCATGCTGAATTTATATAAGGGTTTAGAATAACTCAGGAGGCAGGAATCTCTATTAAAAGCCCATTTCCTTGGGCATATATATAGTAGCTTGAATGACAGACTTTTTGACTTACATGTGGTAGAGCAGGTACCTAGAGTTAGTTTTCATGTTTTCTGTCAAATGGGAGGATATTGTCTAGAAGGACAGAATATATTACTTGCAGTAAGAACTAAGAATTCGTTATCATGATTGTGTCTTGGGCAGTCATTGGCAGGGTAGACTGTGTTTTCTTTTTATAAATGTTCACCCAAAGCAGATTTGGAAATAGTTTTAGGAGATGTACTTGTCCTGTTCCCAGTTCTGTATGTTGTTTCCCAATATATGGGTACCCTACACATAACCTTAGGGCATATTTAGATACACAGACATTTACCTGCCTATCACTTTTATGGAAACTGACAAGCTTGGAAGCAGGGGTCCTACCAAGGCAGAGGGTAGAGTAGCAATCAGTGAACAGAGGTTTGTTGTTCAGTCATTACAATCATGAATGACTCTTTGTGACCCTATTTTTGTTGTTTTCTTGGCAAAGATACTGGAGTGGTTTGCTATTTCCTTCTCTAACTCATTTTGCAAATGAGAAAGTGGTAAACAGGGTTAAGTGATTTATCCAGGGTCACACAGCTAGTGTCTAAGGTTGGATTTGGACTTGGGAATATGAGTGAGTCTTCCTGATTCCAAGCCCAGTATTCTATCCACTGTGCCACCTAGTTGCCCCAGTGAAGAGGGATTTAATTGGGGTATATTGGCACTGTCACAAGGATAATAGCTAGTTAGTATTTACACAGCTTTTTGAGGTTTGAAAAGCTCTTTACATGTATTATCTAATTTGAACTTTACAACAACTTGTGAGGTTGATGATGTTATTATCCCTCTTTACTGGTGAGGAAACTGAGGCTGGGAAAACTTGAGTAGGTTGCCCAGAGTTACATAGCTACCTAAAAAGTGTAAAGACTTTTTATGAGTGGCTTTCAAGGCATATTTGAACTAGATATTAAGGATAATTTTGGACAGCCACAGGGAAGAACAGAAGTGTCTCTACTTCATAGAAAAATAAAGTTAGATA